GCACCGTGGCCCAGCTCGGAGGCCGGCGGAGGCGGCGTCACCTGGGTTCTCGAAGGCCAGCACGTGCTCGAACACGTCCCCGTCAGCCGTCACGTTCACCGTCAGGGTGGCGCCTCTGTGCAGCACGGAGTTTGGAAAGAGGCAGAAGTAGGTGTTGTCCGCCGAGACCTGCAAGCGAGCGGCAAGGTCAAGGGCACACACGCCACCTGCGGCTCGGGCTCCCTCGAACCCAACCCAGTCCCGCGGCCGTTCAGGGGGCCCCTGGGGCCAACCGGACTCGCGCTGTTCCGAGCCGTCTGCGACTGGGCCCTGCCTTGGCCGTTCTGGCAAAGAACCCCGCTCGACCCGATCGCTGAGACCCGAAATCTTCGCTTCTGCAGCGGATCAGAGTGTGTCAGCTCCAAGAGGCCACTTCAGCCTAAAGATTACTTTGAGCGGAAGGCTCCTGAGGGACAGCAGACACACGTCCTCCGCCCTCGCCCGGGCCGTCGACAGCCGGCGTAAACGTCCCCTTGGGGAGGCGTCCCCCCCATTCCCGCTTCCGACCCGGAAGGCAGACTCGGCCTTATCACCAGGGACAATTCTAGACGCTTGTGAGCCCAGGGACGGCACCCAAAGGAATCTACGTGCCGAGCTTCTCTAAAACGCCGCCTCCGCCAGCGTCCCAAACAGTCACCTCCCGCCGTCTGCCGTCCCTTCCGTGGTGGACTCACTGTCTACACATTTCTTGCTGTTTGCTACAAACAGCATAAAAACCCCAAAGCCGCTCCCGCCAGGTCTTTGCGTCTTCACGATTCTCCGAGGAAGGCCTCCAACATCGAATAAGAACCATATGCTTTCGCTCCCCCCAATCTGTCTTTTGTTAGTTTAATTTGCAAGGCCCCGTCACTGAACCTCAGAGGGGAGAGGAAAGGTTTTTTCCTCCCTTTCAATACCAATCCCAGTTCCTCCCGGGAACGTCCATTCCTCTACCTTCTCGACCGGCCCACGGGCTGTAACTCCCCAGCTGGCCCTGTTGAATGCAGACTTAAGTTCCATCTCTCCTCCAGGACAATAGTCTTGAATAAAGTCTTTCCTGCGCGTTTGACGTGTCCGGGGCATTTCTTCTTCGACACCCCCAGGCCCACTGAGCCAGCACCTGCTTTTCGTGACGTGTCTGGGGTGCATCTGGCTATCAGTGTTGGACGCGCTCTGGGCTGGGCGACCAGGCCTAACTCTGCCTCTTCCATGACCCGTCTGGAAGGTTCATAGAGGCAGGAAAAGGGGAGAACGCTGGGCCCTGCACGGTGGGAGCCTCCGTCGGCGATGGGAAACGGGGGGCCTTAGTCCATCCAGGCGGCATCTCTGGATCCCACAGACTGAGCAGCTTCAGTAACAGACACTTATATGTCACAGTTCTGGACGTTGCACGTCCCCGCTCAGAGGCGAGCTGGCCCAGTGCGTGCTCAGGGCCCCCTCCTGGTTCCCAGGTGGCGTCTGGTCATGGTGCGCTCACGGGGGAGGGGCGAGGGAGCTCTGTGGGGTCCCTTCCACAAAGGGCGGCGAGCCCCTTACTTTGTGTTTTGTTGGTTTAATTTGCAGGCCCCCAGCACCGAACCCAGGAGGGTTCACGACCGCCGGCGTGAGCTCGTCAGCTCCCCCAGGCCCCGCCTGCTGACACCGTCACACTGGGACTTAGGGTTCAACATGCGAACTCTTGGGGACATAATCATCCAGTCTAGAGCAGCTCCTCCCAGCCGCCCCACGGGGCAGAGGCCGAACTGAGCGTCTCTCATCTCCCTGCACTGCCAACAGAGCCCACCGCGACCCCACGCGGGAGCCGCCGCTGCCTGCAGCTGGGGGCCCCGGAGCTCGCCCTGAACCCGCACGCTCCATGCCGCCCAGGGCGTCAACCAAAGGCTCCTCGAGCCCCTGGCAGGTCCCACAGCGCAGACGTGTTTCCTCCAGGACCTCCTTGAAGTGTGAGCATGAAGGAAGGTCACATCCCCTCTCCCAGCAGGAGTCCCAGGGCGTGGACCTGACCGTTCCTGTCCCCTGAGTCCTCACTGCAAAATTCAGGCGTCAAGATGCGAGCGAGTTAGTGATGTCACCTCGAGTGCGTGAATGCAACGGGTCGTCGGCAGCTCGCTCCCCCAGAGGCTGAGACTCTGCCCTCTGTCTTCACGGTCACTCAGCCAGACGCCTGGGACGCACATCATGGCTGCTGTGAGAGAAGGAACACGCACACGGACAGCGGCCGTGTCACCGACAAAATAAACCCCCGAGCCACGACCTGCAGTGACCGGCCCACCAAGCCAGCCTGCCGTACAAGGCGGGTTTGCAGGAAGCCAGACCCTGGCGTCACCAGACCTCGGGTGACAATATAGGAAGCTCAACAAGAACTTTCGCCACCACTGGCCCACGGCGGCCCGGACTTGGATAATAGCTGAGAATCTCCTGCATTTTGTCAACGCTTGCAACGTAGTGGTCACACGCCACCCCAGAACATGTCACGTCGGCGTCAAGATGGTTTTGAGCTGGAGGCCACCTCTGACTAAACGCGACTGTTCTGACAAGTGAGGGCTCGTGTCCCCTCCCTCGCTGGGGAGTTTCACAGCCAAGGAGAGTCAGCGGTAGGACGGAGCTGCTCAGACACACCCGTGGAACATGAACCCCCTTTGTGTGTCCTGGCACAGTTGATTGTGCTTTGTCAAAAGCGGCATATAAACTCTCAAGCTAACGGCTTCCGCATGTGTGTCTGTGGGTGGGGGGCGCTCCGTTCTTTCCGTGAAGGTCCCACCCATGCCATGTAAAGATTTTAACACCCGAGAAAATGTGTATGCCTTTTCTCCAGAAAATCTATCTTTTTTAGCGTCCGTCTAATTTGCACACCCCCGCCCACGGAACCTAAGAGTGTAGATGGAAGTGTTCTTCCCGTCCCTTGTCTGTCTCAGTTTGAGACTCTGGTAAACGGAAGTGACAGTGGCCGACCCCTCGCCAGGGCCAGGTTTGAAGAAACGGCCTCTGCTCGTTCTCACTTGGCTGCCTTTCTGTGTGTCCATGAGTTTAATGCTCGCTGGGAAGTAAAATGCTTTTCCTCGTCTTGCAGCGTGTGGAAGGCTGCTGTGGGCTGGAAGGCGATTTTGTTTCTTCATTCTGCTTCCCCTCAAGTGTGCCGGGATGGAGATGGGGTTCGGGGAAGCCCAGATCTCTAGGGATTCCGGAGAGTGTGGCCAGGCCTGCAGGCGGGGGTCTGGGCGCCCGCTTCCTTCCTGGCGGGGGGTTCTGGAAGCATCCAGGCAACAATGGAGAAATCACGCGTCCCCACCCCCTCTCCCTGACCGTGCCACGACCGCGTCCTAGAGACAGAGATAGGACACGTTCTCTTTCCATTTCTAGAGAAACTTTCTTAGGAAAAGGATTTCCTCCCCATGCACACGCAAAAAAAAAAAAAAAAAGTTGCTCAGAAACCCTAAAACAAAGGAAAACATGTATTTTTGAAATTGAAACCAAGAAGGAGAGATGATGGGAAATGCAGGGAGAGCCGGCTGGACGCAGCTCCTGAGAGGAGCACGTCCCAGTCAGCCAAGTCGGAAAGAATTTCTTCGGACAGCCAGGCAGAAGGTCCACGGCCTACACAAGGATCAGGGGGATTCGAGGCCCTGAAGCTGCCAACGGAAGCCAGCCGGGGGGCGGCTCCTGCCGAGTTTTGACGGGGGGAATTTTTGAAAAGCAGTTTTGATACGGTCAGGCCGTGTGGGCGGCCAAGCTGAGGACCACGGGACCCTCCAAAGTCAACGAGGGCTCGTGAGAACCTACAGACAATGCGCCGTGAGGGGGAGCCGCCACCAAAGGGACAGGAAGTGACCCCTGCCGCTTATCCTGTGCAGACGCGCCCTGGCCTGCCAGGAGGTTTTGTGTCCGCAGTTATTTATATTTCTGTGCTTCGGCTTTAAAAAAAAAAAAAAAAGTTTAATTTTTGTATCGTGATCAAATACACATAACATAAAATTTCCCATTTTAACCTTTCAAGTGTACGAGCCAGGGGCATGAAGCATGTTCACAGCGTTGCGTAAACGTTATCTCTATTTCCAGGACATTCTCGTCGCCCCAAAAGGAGACCGCGTGCCCATGCGTGGTCACTGCCGTGCCCGGCCCCCGGCCCCCGAGAACACTAACTGCTTCCCGTGTGCGTGGACGCCACGTCGATGGCGTCACGCACCGTGAGCTTCCGTGTCTGCCTCGCTCACCGAGCGTCACGGTATCCAGCTCCATCTGTGTTGGCGCGAGGGTCAGAGCTTCATGCCTTTCCACGGCAGGACAGGAGACTTTATTTTTAGTTCTATTTTCCACGTGGCATCTTCCCCCTGAATCCCTACTTGGACTGAGACCAAATGAGGAACCAGGAGACGGAGCAGGGGGCAGTGGACATGGCAGGGGTGTGACCACATGACATCAACCCCCACCGGCGCAACGCTGAGTGTCAAATGCTGGTCATAAGCCTGGTCACACGAAACAATGACACGAAAGGAAAAAATAGATTATCTAAAGGAAAAAAAAAGCAAGCACATCGATATCCTGTCGCCTGAACCCGAGGTTTCAGGGCAAAGGGCCGCCGAGCGGACGGGAAGGGAAGGTGCACGGCGTCCGGCCACGTGGCCGGCCTAGCGGGAGCGGACGCAGGAATCACGGGCATTCGGGTTTCCTCACAATGAAGAGAAACTCGAGCGGCATTAACGCGCACTATACGCGGGCCAGACCTAACGAGGGAGGCCAACACGCAATGGTGGTACGGCTCCCCGTCTGAGTGCAGGGGCGTGGCTCCAGGACACCCCATTCCCGAAATCCAGCGGGGCTCACGCCGATGACAGAGAACAGCATCGTATTTACAGATAGCCTTTGACCATCCTCCCGCAGACCTTAAATCACCTCTGGGCTGCTTAGCACCCTGGATACAATGTAAATACTGTGAAAACGCTTGTGACTCTGCATCGTCTCACGAATAATGGGAGGTCTGACCGTGTTCCGCGGACTACACAGTCGCGATGTAACATTCGCTGACTACAGAACAAGGACGTAACATTTATCTTGATTATTGAATCAGCGAAAAGAGAGAACGCACGATTCTGTGTCTACAAGACCGATGAAACAGGCCACGTTGCCAATAACATAAACGGATCCACTTTGTCCACGCATAAAAAGGGGCCCAGATTCCACTAAAGACGACACCCTAGCAGGGTGGCTTAGGGGAGTGGGGACGCCCTGAGGGCAGAGGCAGGCCAGGTCCCCCGGGAGAAGGGGTGACTGATCTTTGACACGGAGAAGCTGATCGTCTGGAAGGAGCCAGTGCAGGGACATGGGGCTCTGTCACCTTTGTCCTTGTCCCCAGCCGATTCTCCAGTTCCCCCGAGGGCCCAGGAAGGAGTGAGTTAAAAATACAGCCTTGGGGAAGGCACGTGAGTGTTGCCTAAATGGTGTATTTTTCTCTCCTGCGTTGGCAAATACTCGTCTGGGCTTCACCCTCCTAGGAAACCGAACACACACCCCAGGTGGAGATTCCACAGCCACTGTTTTCTGAGTTTACAGCCAGCTACTCAGTAAAAAAAACAGTTTCAACAATTTAACAACCATAATTCGTGTTCTCCTAGTCACATTTTGGGAGAAGCTGGGGATCGGTGGCCCCAGAAGGCAGCCCAGTGACAGCCTTACTGGAGAAGCGCCTTCGGACGTGGAGTTTTGAAGTCTTACACCTGACATTGACATATTTCCATAACCAAATGTCCGCACCAAAGTCACCCCGATACACATAATTAAAGAGAGGGGCTCCCTCACTATTAAACCAGAAGGAAGGAGCACTCGGCCACTCGATTATTTTTTTAAAAATGACAACCCTTTCTCCCCAAAAGGACTAGCTTTTATTTTCTCTCTCTCTGTCTCTCTCTCTCTCTCTCTCTCTCTCTCTCTCTCTCTGTCTCTCTCCACGACTAAACTCTGAAAACAGATCCGTGCCGAGCAGGAGGAAGGAAACGAACGCACCGCCCGAGATGATGAAAACGGGAAACTGTGAACTCGCGGGCAGAGGTCGTTGACACCCACAGCGCCGATGCCGGCCGTGACGTATGGGGAAACGCAAAGGGACTTGGTTTTGGGGAGCTGGGCCAGCTCTGCTATGACACCGTTGAAACCACATCAAAAACATAAATAAAAACCTCCCTTAAAATTCTAGCGAAACCTCAAGCGTCATAATCACGAGCTGAATTCAACACTAAACTAAAAAATCGACCAAGAGCGTCCAGAGTTTGATTCCACGAGGCAAGAAATCTGCGAGAAGGTGTGATGACACCCCAACACAGCGACGAGGGGCCTGAGTAAGGAAGCTCCCTGGTAATCGCCACCGGTGTGGACAGAAAAAGGTTTTCAAGAATACGCAAGTTCTGTGCCTGACAAAGGCAGACGAAGCTCAGGGCCGTGAGTGAAGCTCTTCGCCGGGACAAACGACGTCTCCCTCCCGTCTAAGGCGGCATCGTAATTATTCCCGCAACGCTCAGCTCGCGAAACCCGTGACCAAAGCGAGAACGCAGCCGTGACCGTCGCGTGCATGTCACGTCCCAAGCCCTCTCGACTTCGCAAAGAAAAATGAAACAGAGAGAAAAGGCAGGACAGTCGGGAGGGGGCGAGGCATGTCGTGTTATTTACAAACTCACAAATTCTCAGAGATCATATAGTCAGTAGCTTTTCTGCACCAACAGTGACTGAAGATGAAGCCGGAAAAAAAAACAAAACAGGCTCAATAAAAATAAAACACTAAAAGAAAGAAAGAAAGAGAAAGAAAGAAAGAAAGAAAGAAAGAAAGAAAGAAAGAAAGAAAGAAAGAAAGAAAGAAAGAAAGAAAAAGAAAGAAAGAGAAACCACAACAACCCAACACACTACTTTCTATAAAATAGAAGTGTACTTCTTGTTCATAGAACATAAATGTCAAGACAAGTAGTTGAGGGCTAATTAGAGGTTTTATTTGGCAT